ACAGGAAAACCAGGGCAGCAAATTATAATCAATTCTTCAGCATCATCTAATTCTCACCCAGGTCCAGTGAGGTTGTACCAATGCCTGTGCTGCCATGGCCAGAGGGATGCACCAAGATCCAGAGGGATGCTGGTGCTTCCAGAAGTGGAGAAGGTTTATGGAAAGCGCCTGACCCTGCTCCGAGCTTTACTGTTCACAGGGAGTTGCTGCACTGGCAGCCAGGAAGATACTCAGGCTGGAAGGGATGCCACAGAGATCAGCAGGATTCAGAGGATTCTTACCTAGTGCTGCTCATGAACTTGGAAAACCGTAAATGACAAAAGACAGCAGAAAGTAGAGGAGCTGGGAACAGAAGAACCACCTGGAGATGAGGAAGGAGAGGGAAAGGGCAAAAAGGAGGAAAACCAAGGGAAGACAAAAAAAAACCAAAGAAAGGCAAAATTCACTTCTAAAGGGATTCATTGCTGAATCCAGCTCCTTTTTGTAAAGCCTAGTGCAGAACCTCATATGCCAAAGGTTGAAATTGATTTTCCACCTTCAGCCTGACGTTGGTTAGTGTTTTATACACAAAGTACCAGACTGGTATAAAAGGTTGTGGGGATTTCCCAGGGAAAAGCAAAAGACAGCCTGCTCTGCCTTTTTTGTTTCAGCATTAAGAGACAAACAGGTGCAGAATGAGAAGAAGAAGCCCTGACCAAACCAGGACTCATTCCATGCACCTCAAAGAGAGCAGGAAGTGGCCTTGTGTGGAGTTATTTGTATGTTTTTTGTATGTTTTTTGTTATTTGTATGTTTTATTATCCCTGTATTATGTATTGGTTTATTCCTTTGTACCCCCGTGTGCAACTTGGTTTATCCCCAGTTTTCCCGCCTTGTCCTCCCTTCCCGCCTTCCCAGTATCTATCCATCACCCTGAAAGAGGCATTTTACCCCCCCCGGGTGCCTTGTCTGTCACTCAGTGCCCCTTCCCATCCATCCAGAAGCTTCTACTCAGGGCACCGGGTGATTGGGCGAGGACCTGGGGCTCCCCCCATATCCTTCCCCCATTGGACCCCACCATATCCCCCCATCCCGGAGCCACCCCCTATCCCTATCCCCATTGGTCGTTGGATACCCCTCCCTTACAGTTTATAAGCCAGTGCAAGCACCTTGTGCTTGTTCCTGTTGGCTGGCACCGTTCTAGGATATTTGGCCCCGTTGGGCTACAATAAACTCGGACTTAGCCCCCAGCAGGATCCGCTCTTCATTTACCACCGCGAGGCTTGCTAGCGCTGCCCGGAACCCACAAAGGCACTCTCCAAACCCCAGCTGGGAGCGGCGGAGGCTGCCTCCATCGCCCGCCCTCACCCCACAAGAGCTAGCCGGGGCGGAGGAAAAGGGAACTGGGGCGGGAGCGCGGCAGCCTTGGACCAGTGGAAGCAAAATACCCAAAACACAAATCCAAGGCCCAGCCAGGACAGGACCGGACCCTGCTCTGCTCTCCCACCCCCACTTTTTGCCCACTCACTTGGTTCCAGTTTGCTAACAAGAGGTAGAAACCATGGGCAGTTCTGGCAGATGCCAGAGGGCTCTTTCCATCTGCAGATTCTCCAAAAATGCCACATAGCTGGAGACCCTGAGCTCTCTCCTGCACTCTGAGCTGGAGGAGGAGCTGCTCGCCCATCACTCAGCGCCTCGGAGAGGTCCCCTAGTCCCAGCTAAGTCTTTCTCTGCCTGAAAAGGAAACAAAAATGTCACCCTGACGCAGCTTGCTACCTGTTTTCTCCTGTGCTACTTCTGCTCCAATATAAAAGTTGCTGAGTAATTTGGAAGATTTTGCTAATGCTTTTGCTCTGGACATGCCCTTCTGGCAGCATGCACAGACACAGTCCTGCTGCAGACACTCTCCAGGTCTGCATGTGACAGCCTCCTCCCACAGCACTGCCTGGACTGGCAGCAGTTTGCAGATTCCTGGCATGAGCACAGAGGCAGTGGGAAGGAGGGAGGTGATGGAGCCAGGACTCACACCCAGAGGTAGTGTCAAGGTGGCAGCAAAGCCCAGCAGTAGCTTAAAAATTGCTTGAAAGCAATTCCCAGCTGAAAGGTGAGGCCATCAAGGATGGTTCCTTTGGGGAAATTGGCTGCCCTGAGAGAGGCAAAGACAGTGCCCATGGAGCTCAGCCCACCTAGGTGCACCGTCCCAGCCCAGCCAAGCATGGGGCACGTGCTGGGGCAAAGGGTCCTGATGAGTGATCTGGCAAAAGGGGTGACAAGGAAAAGAAAGAAGCAAAAATTAAATAGTATGGAGACGCAGACCTGGACAACTGTCCTGGTTGAAAGACAGGTGTCTGCCAGAGAAGATGAGAACCTCCCTTGGAATGGACAAATAATCATAACCTTGGAATCAAGGGGCTTTCAGGCAAAGAAATGGGGAAAGGAATAACAGTTCTTTACCAGCATATATATATCTGTGTGTGTGTGTGTGTGTGTGTGTGTGTGTGTGTGTGTGTGTGTGTGTGTGTGTGTGTGTGTGTATGTGTGTGTAACAAGGCAAATAATTAATCATAACAGCAGCAACAACAAACAGAAGCGCAGAGCCGGCCCAGACCCGGCCCGGAGCCCAGCCCCGGCCCGGAGCCCAG